ATGACCTTCTATGGGTCATTTGAATTTGAAATGACCCAATGACTAGTCATTTGTCATTTGGGTCATTTGGGTCATTTCAGGTCATTTACCATCCCTGATTAGTAGTAATTAGTAATGTTAATAATTGCATGAATAATATAGTAATTATTAGCAATTAGTAATAAATATAAGACATCGATCTAAATGGAAAAATGCCTAACTTGAATTTTTAATAAATAAACTGTTATTTGTGTAATTATATTATTAGTAGTAGTATCTGATATAATACTCTAGTTATTGTATAAAGTAGCCAAGCAAGTAAAGACCTATAGTAAAAGATCAAGTAGTTTACAGAGTGTTAGTAAACTTTGTAATATAAAGAATCCAGATAGATGAAGGTCTACTTACAGAAGTTCATTGTATTTTGCTAAGTGCAAAGCCAAAAAAGTTGTATAGTTATAATTAGTAAAAAAGCCTTGGTAGCAAGTTGATATTGTTTAACAGAATCAGAATTGAATATAAAAGATAAGAATTATTTGACAACATTGGTAAAAATAATTGTTGAAAAGATGGTTGAAAAGGTTATATAGAACCTGAGAACAATGCAAAAATAGCAAAAATATTAATCATATTTATATTATATATACTGGTATAAAGGATATTTGGCTTATAATTATCCAGATCAAATTAAGTATAAATGATCAAAACATAGTATAGTAGTACCTGAAAATAGAAAAATAAATGTTAATAAAAGTAATAAATAAAAGAAAATGAAAAATTATATATATCCTAATAATAAAATTAAGGTTATAAGAATTATAAGGTTTGATAGTAACAAGAAAAATAGAATAGGCAATTGAAAGTGTGATAAAAATATTAGAGTGGATAAATCAAAAATGAAGAAGAAAATGAATATTAAATTAATTCAAGTGATCAAGATAATTTGAAAATGAAAAGAAGAATAAAGATGAAAGGCAAACCCAAATATTTTAACAAAAAAAGAGCATCTAATTATTATGAAGAAGCTACCAATAATAGATATAAAACATTCAAATGAAGTTTTAAACATGCAAAAAATAGTGATTTATATAAACAGCATAATCTTGAATTATGTAATCAAAATCAAATAGACAAAGCAATGATGAACTATGCTGACTATAATAAAAATGAACTTGATAAAGATAGATATAAAATGTTTATTCACTATCAAAAATTCTCCAATATAAGTGATTCTGATAAAATCAGTAATGGAATAAAAAACAGAAGATATTTGGTTATTACAAAAAATTTAACAAAGAAGGTCTTGATAATTGTTATCAAGATAAAGAGATAATAATGTTGAAGGCACCATTGAATATAGTGATAAAAATAGATACTATAATGAGAGATTTGTTGAAATCGTTGATAAAAACTGAATCTGACAGTAATGATATAAATAGTAAAAATAGTGAAATCAAAATCTATAAAAGAAATAGTAATAAAAAGCAAGAGAAAAGGAAAAAGAATACAGATCCAAATAGTGAAATCCAAGAGGATAAAATTTTTAGATACATAGAAATAGAGAGTAAAGATTTTGTTAATATTAAAAGAAATGAGTTTACTAAAATTAAATCTTGTGATATTGGTGTTGAAGAAGAGAAATCTAAAACATTTGAATATTATCAAAAATTAGTAAAATTAAGTAATAATGGAATGTTTAATAAAGGCTATTACTATTATAATAAAATTGGTGATAAAAAAGATACCAACAAGGCGTCTAAATGGTATTTAGAATTAGCTAAAGGTAAAAATGCATATGGACAAAATAGTCTTGGATGTTGTTATAAAAAAGGCAATAGTATAAAGAAGAATAAATATAAAGCATATATTAATTATCAAAAATATGCTAATATAGGTGATCCCAACAGAGTATTTGATGATTGAAATTGTTACTAAAATAGAATAAGAATTAAAAAAGATAAGCATATAGTATCTATTAACTACTAGAGATCTAATGAGAATAAACATAAAGTATATAAATAGAATTTGAAAGATATTGGAAGTGATAATTTAAAAGAAAATAAAAATAATATGCTGATGAAAAGAGTGATAAGAATAAATAGACAATTAGCAAGAATATCGATTAGAACCAGTTTATATATAAACTTAATAAATATAAATTATATAGATAAGAAAGGATTTATCTGAAGACAATTGAACAATAGACTAACTATTGGTAGTATGTTTGAAAAAGTTATTTGTCCTTAATACTGAAATTATTACAAATAGTATTAGTGTTATTAAAAAGTTTTATGTAATCTGAGAATTACCTTATAATATATTGCTTGGAATGCTATAGATAGCAAAAGTTCAATGTGGTTTTGCATAAAAGGATGGTAAATATTATAATACAATTAAATCAGGAAGAAAAGCAACATTTGTGATTTTAGAAAACTCTAAAATTGAAGATATAAATAAGAATTATGTGATTAGTAAAGAGAAGAATAATCAAAAGAAAGATGAATTTGTTGATATAAGATATATTAAAGACAAATTAATAAAGAATAATAGTACTAATAAAGATAAAGAGAATTGTAGTGATGAAAAAGACAATAATAATATAAATATAAAGTGTGTAGTAAATATGTTGAAGAATAATGAGGCTGAGTTTGATGATAATAGGAGTGAAGCTACAAATAGTAAAGCAGATAAATCTAAAAAAGATTATCACAAAAGTATAATCAAAAATGAAAAGAATAAACAAAAGATATTTGTTCAATATCAAAACCTCAAAAAAATAAGTTGTAGCAATAAAGTATATAATAACAAGTATGTTAATAAAAATAAACGATACATTGGATTAGAAGGTGTATCTATAAGAGTAGGCAGCAATATATATATATTGCTGCTTACTTACATTAGGTTATTATCTACTTATAAGTATATTGTTATCTACTTATGGACATATTGTTACCTACTTGTTTTATAGCTACTCATTTTGACCTCTATTAAGCTTGTGTCGTCATTCGAGTAATAAACAATTCATGCTTGTGTCATCAGAGATATATTAGTATTTGCTTCATCATTTGAGTGACGAATGATTCACACTTGTATTGTCATTCGAGTAATGAACAATTTGTGCTTGCATCATCAGAGATATATTAGTATTCACTCCATCATTCAAGTAATGAACGATTCACGCTTGCGTCATCATTTGAGTGATGACGGGATTATATATCTGTCGTCATTCGAGTAATGTATATTTTGTATTTGCCTCATCAAAGATGAGACATTTATAGTCTGCTCATTAGGTGATGTGTGATTTTATCACTTGAGGATGAAGCATATAGTGCCGAATGGTTATTCTTACCTGGTAGCCCACAAAAGCATAATTTTATTTTATATATATATCTGTAATAATTTTACCTTTGTGGGCCACTTTTTTTATTTGAAATAATACTTATATAATGTACTCGATTATTAATTAAGAATGATGCCGAATTGTTATCCTTACCTGGTAGCCTATTAAAGTACAATTTTATTTTATATATATCTGAAATAATCATTCTTTTGTGAGCCACTTTTTTTTACTTGAAATATTACTCAAACTAAAAAAACTTTGGTGGCTAATATTTTTTGGTATAAGTTGTCAATACTAGTACTACTTAAAGCATACCACTTATTCTAAACTATATCTTAATTAAAATTATATAATACAAAAATGGTTATTGAATATATATCTTAATCTATATACCAGAAGCACTTACCAAAATTTTATTTCGATCTGGCAGGCAGGTACACAAATTGGATAACAGCAATTGCTACCATGATCCAAAAACTTCTTTCATCATCTAAATCTTATTATTCAAAATCGCACAATATAAAAACCCTTTATATGATCCAGATATTGGAATATTAATTTTTTATTTGAATTTTTTCTTATACTTATTGTAAAAGTAACATAAATCTCTTTATCCAGATATATCTAGCTGAATGTAGCGATCTCTCTACTTCAAAAATTACTACTTAACTAGATTGTATTATCTTGAACAACAGTTATACATATTCAATAAGGGCCAAAGAGCGGGTTTTTAATTCTTTTTTATATGGAGTGGTAAGAACCTTTATTTTAGCCTCGAAATTTTGCTTATATTTTAGAAAAGCGATCTCGTTCATACTCTCACACTTTTTTTTCTTTTTTTCTCTCAAGCTCGAAAAAAAGTGATACTCCCAGAGTATAATTAACTAAAATATTCAAGTTAAATTCTAATATTATAAAATACAAGATTATAATGAAATTGATACTAAAGCTCTTATCTATGCCAAAAGACGTAAAGGACAATGCTTGGCTAAAGTTAGATCAAACCCTAATATTTATTTATAGGTTTGTAAAAATCAGCATCAATAGGAAGCATCTTATAGAGAATGAAACAAAATTATAAATAGTGCAATAGTTGTTCTCATATATTTGAAAAATCATGTTGATATATATTTGAAGAATTATTATATAAAAAATTTTCATCTTGAAAACCTAAATTTTTAAGAGGCTTACAACTTGATGAATATAATGAGAAATTATATTTGGCCTTTGAATATAGTGACAATTAGTATTATCAAATCATTCCTTTTTTCCATCCACAAGGACAAATTAATTTAGATGCACAAATTCAACATTATTGGAAGAAGAGAGCACTCTGTTTTAAGGAAGGTATAATTCTTATCACAATTCCTTATTGTATTGTTGATCTGCCAACTTTCATCAAGAGTACCTTGAATGCATTCAGTTTCTTCCCAATACCTACTTAGGAGGTAAATGCACATCCTTTACAATTTGAAGTTTTTCTCTCATGAATGGGTATCTTGAACCATTACGTAGCTTGTAGAGAACTGGCTAGTTATTTTTTCTTGAAAATGATTCGATCGAAAAAATTTCAGGAGACCAGTTACAATCAGTAGCCCTCCTTCTCTAGCTTTCTAGTTCACTAGGTTCTAATAGATACCGAACTTTAACATCAGATGATAGAAGGGGTTCATCATAATCTATAGACCTTTTGTGCTTGATAGCTGGATCTGCAAAGATTTTCTCACCTTCTAATGATTTTTTTACAGCTTCATTGGGCAACTTCATAGAGGAATTATTATATTTATTATTATTAATATGAAGGTCAACAACCCACTTTCTAGATCTATCAGTTAATAGTAAATGTAAGTCCATAGCATCTTGGTGAAAAAATGTATGCTTTTCAAATTCTTGGTGATCTCTTTTGGCAATAGCCACACTTTGTTTAGATTTAGCATACTGAATTCTCACGCCATGTCTGAGAAATAAATTCCTATACTTACACATATATTTGGTTCCTTTATCTACAATTAAAACTTTTGGCTAGCTAAGTAGGCAATTTGGATTATTATAAATTTTCTAAATCTCTCTAGCCATTTGCGTAGCTGTTTTATCAGTCAAAGCGAAACTGCGCCGATATCTAGTTGCAATATTCTTTATCACTTCTCGGTATTTATAAGTTTGATTGCAAACTTTATCGTGAGGCATAGGTGTAGTATCAGACTGGTGTACTTTATTTAATGTTTGTACATTGTTAAAAGAAGCATATTGGATAAATTTTGGTCAAGGCTTATAGATCTGATATAAGGCCTGTTTGTTAAGCCAATTTTTAATTATAGCCAAAGTGAACTCATATCCTACCTTCTTACAAGCATCCTGTATTTTTTCAGCAGTCCGATAATAACCTTCAGGCTTATAATATAGTTTTTGCAAAACAATCTCTCTATCCAAATCACAGGCCTTCTGTGGGTTAATATAAATCACAGGTTTCTCTATTCCCACCAATTCATTTTTCTCATTGCCAGGATTATATAGTATAATAAAAAATAGATAACAATATATATCTGGACACAAACTTGTGAGTGGACAATATTATAGTTAATAAAAAAACAATGGACGAGTTACAACAAACTAACCAAGAACTCTATGAGGTAGTATCACAATTAGCAGAATCAAATAGGAATTTCAAACAGCATCTATATACCTTAGAAAGAATTATCGGCATATGGTAGAAAAGAATACAGTTTCTTGAAGAAGAGTTAAATAATGCTATCGAACTATCTACACAAGACAAAAAAGAATTGTTAGAAGAAATCTCAAAACTAAAAAGAATCATTCATCAGCTCGAAGAAGAAAATAAAAAGAAAGACAAGGAAATCTCAAATAAGGATAAGTTAATATTAGAATTCGATTAGGTTTAGGCCGCAGATAAGTTTCTAGGTTTACTTAGTTATATGTCTGAGTTCTTATTCTTAGCAATAGTCTTAAACTATAAAACCTTTTTCAATTATGTAAAAAGTTTTCATTAAGTCTAATAAAGATAAGAGCATGGTCTCACCTTTAACATTAAAAAAAAAAAAAATATTAGAATTCGATGAATGTAAACAAAATTAAAAACCAGAATACAAGAAATATCAAAATCAGCTAGAAATGCACCTAAAGTACAAAATTATACAACCAGATTAGTAGACGAAAATGAATGCCTTAAATGAGAAATAAATACAATAAGAGTTAATTAAATAAATAAGATTAATAAAATAAATCAGCAAAAAAATCATATTATAGACCTGCTTTGTCAAAATTTTGCATTAGCATTATTAAGATATCGAGATAGATTAGAGCTTAGAAATACACAAGAGGCTTTACAAAATACACAGGCATGGAATTTTGGTGAAAATGAATCTGATTCTGATGAAAATTCTCTAGACTTGTATAATTCTGATAATATGGATACAATAGCTGAATTGGCCGATGCTATAGACCAATCCCTAGATAATACAACAATATACTGTATAAAACTATTTTATCAAATCAAATTAAAAGATCAACAAGATTAATTTGATGTAAATACACTAACCTGCAACAAAATCTGGTAAATATAAGGTGAGATCGTGATACATATAGGCAGGAGCAAGATTAGGCATTGCTTAATCTTCAGCAGTTGCAAACTAATGCTCAAAATCAAGTAAAGAGAATGTTAGACAATATAACAGAAAAGCGAATCCATATTGGTGTATTACTATAGGAAAAATTTGTCTTACAAATCTTATATTAATGAAATATCTACCACCTACAACAATGCAGAGCCGATAGAGGTTTGTTAGAATATAATTAAGATAGGTTATATGAACGATATAAGAAGTGGAAAAATAAGACTCATGCAAAGTACCAGAATATTTTAATTTTAAATCAACAAAATTTGATACTTCATAATAATCCACCAAATCAAATAAACATGGCTAATGCTAGATGTTTACCGGTATTAAAATTAATGGCTCCTGCTCTTGCAAAATTTCCACCTTATATGGGCCAAGAATCACCTGATGATTACTTAAATAAAGTTATTCAATCATGAGCATATCTTGAAGGGTATATAACGGTTCTTAAGAATACAAATGCAGGAGATTTTGACAATGTGATCAAGTGTAATATTTTAAAATTTATAATGAATAGAAAATATGTTCCAGTACTAGCAAATAATAATCTTGTAGTAGAAAATCTAGCTATAAATTCTCCAGATACATTACGGGCTTGGATAAGAGCAAAATATTAGCAAGAAACTGTTAGAAATCAACAATCGGCTATTCAAAGATTGATTAAAGAAAGATATCAACCTTATGATACTCTTGATATCTATAAAGCCAGAATTCGACTACTATTATTAGGAGTAGCAGACAATTATACATAAGTTTTGGGATTTCTTAAAAGCACTTTTTAGTATTACCCCGGGGCAAATAACAACAACCATTAATAAATAACATAATAGTAAAAATAAATACAACGAAGTTATTCAACTCATGGGTCAAATAACTGACGCACCTTAGATAGTGTCAAATGAATTGACGCATCTTATTGAGTGCGTCATCAAATTACCAATTTATTAGACATAGTAAAAAAAAATAAAAACCTTTCCTTAGCACTCACTCAAATATATTAAACAATAGTAACTGATTGGGTTATTCAACTCACAGGGTGGGTCAAATGAACTGACGCACCCATGTAACAAAAAATATAAAAGGCTCTGAATTTTCCTTGAGTCAGCTCAATTAGTCACTTTGTGACCGATTTACCTTTGACTTCAATTGCTTCCAGAGGTACTTTGACCAAATGAAACCTCCATACATACAATAATAGCGTTTGTAGGTATGGTATTCAACTCTTTATGGTTAAAATTTTAGCCTAAATGGACCAATATCTATAGAGATATTCGATTTTTTACGTTTTTGTTTAACTTTTGTAAAAACCTTCTTTATTTGAAAAGAACATAAGCATTTCGAAGAATGCTAACGTACGGTAATCCTTTACAGAAAACCCACTATGCTAACCTCAAGACATGCAATAACAGCACTTTTAGAGGGAAGGTTCATCTACTTGAATCTTAATTTTTAGGTGAAATGGACACGAACTCGCAGAGATATCACGTTTTCTGTAAACGTGACCGTTCACGTTTTCGTAAATTTACCTCCAACTTCAATCGCTTCTGGAAGCACTTTGGCCAAATGAAACCTCGACATGCAGTAATAGCGTTTGCAGGTATGGTATTCAACTCTTTACGGTTAAAATTTTAGCCTAAACGGACAACAACTCATGGAGATATTCGATTTTTACGTTAGTGTACCGTAGACGGTTTTTCCGTAATTCTTCGTGATGAAAGTGCCGAAAATTCACGGTACCCCACCCTGATTTTCGAAGGTTCGGTCTAAACTGGGTGCTGCGCATTAACAAACATGTTAGAGAACTGGTTAAAATTTTGCTTTCCAGGATTTGACGCATTTCGGACAAAAACTTGTCGAGATATCGAATTTTTTCGTTCGACTCTTGTAAAAAACCTTCTTTATTTGAAAAGAACATAAGCGTTTCGAAGAACGCCAACGTACGGCGATCCTTTACGGAAAAACCCACTATGCTAACCTCAAGACATGTAATAACA